CCAGACTCTGAGCTGTCAGCACAGAGCCCGACACAGGGCTCGAACTCATGGACTGTGAGATCATGAACTAAGCCGAAGTCAGATGAGCCACTGAGCCACTGAGCCACTCAGGAGCCCCCTAAAGTCTTTTCTTAAAAGCAACTGATCTTGTCAAGCAAATTATCTTGTTTTTTATTATAAAAACAATCTATTGCAAACCCAGGATTTAAATGTCCAGATTAATATTTAATTATTCACCTTCAATTAACAGAGTTTTATTGTATATATTGATTTGAATTCCCTTTATTCCAAAATTTCAGCAAAGAGGATTCAACACACACAAAAGAAAAAATGCTGAACTGTGAGCAGTGTCTCTGCTGAGTAGAATTAGTTGTGGGTGCCCTCTCTTTGCATCCTTTTTAGACACTCTTCTCTTTGCAATAGTTTCTCTTTGCAAAAGTACAAGGAAAGAAAATGACCAAAACACAACCTCTTTGTTTTGACGATTTCGTGACCACTTCTCTCCTTAGGCAGTCATTCATGGGGCCCACCAGTGATCATGGCTTACCAACATGCTTGATCTCAGCACAAGCCTCACTAATACCAACAGTCTTTAGAAAATGGTCTTATATCATCTTTGAGTAACAATGTCTTACGCCTTTAATTTTAGGACACTGCACGGAGACTGCCCAAGCCTCTTTGTAGGAAGAGTGAATTTAGGGGGTGAAGAAAGTACTCCCCCCAACACACCCCATAGTATAGCTAGGATCACAGTGACTGAAATTTACCAGTTTTCCATTTGAGTTAAAAAGGGTGCCTGGGTGGCTCAGTCGGTTAAGTGTCCCACTCTTGATCTCAGCTCAGGTGTTGAACTTAGGGTTGTGAGTTCAAGCCCCACATTGGACTCTGTGCTGGGGATAAAACCTAGTTAAAAAAATTTTAAAGGGGAGCCTGGGAGGCTCAGTCGGTTGAGCACCCAACTCTTGATCTCTGCTCAGGTCATGATCTCACGGTTCAAGCCCCACATTGGGCTCTGCACTGACTGTGTGGAGCCTGCTTGGGATTCTCTCTCTCCCTTTCTGTCTGCCCCTCCCCTGTTCATGCTCTGTCTCTGTCTCTCAAAATAAATAAACATGAAAAAAATCTTAAAAAAAGAAAACCTTTTAAAAAATGTGAAAACTCTCTAAAATGCTAAGAAGGGACTTCTAAATTACTATCACTCATTACTTCTCAACAGAGAGTAAGTTATCAGATTGTGAACTGTCACTCAGCAAGTCCCCAAGGGAATGGTACATTAGGCAGATCTCTAGGCACATTAGGAAAAGAGAAAAAACAAAAATAGTTTGGACTATAAGTGGGAGAAAGGGGAGCAAGGGTAAGAAATTCATCGTCATTCATTGAGAAAATATTTATTATGTGCTGCATGAAGGGCTAGGCCTACAGATGGAAAAGGGTACAGTCCCTGCCCCCTATCAAGTGCAATCAGGAGGTGCTTGAATAAGCACAATAATGAATGTAAAATTGAAATAGGAAAAGACTGGAGGGCCGCCGAAAATAAAGCCCTGGGAGAGGACCTAGTGATGAGTATTTCTGGCCGGGTATGCTCTGCCATCTGGTATGGCAGAGCCTTCATTGCATGAAGTGTGTTCACTTCAGGAATGATGGGAATCACAAGATTTGCAAACAGTTTGGTCAAGCTCTGACTTAAATGGTTGTAATGCTATTAAGATTCCTGCACCCCGTGTCAGCTTCTCCTGCTGTTTAGAAGACAACGTCAAAGCTCACCTCCCTGGCTCTCTTAACAGTAAACTGAACCAAGGTTTGTTTCCTTCTGAGCATTCACTAAGCTGCTTTGGTGTTTCATGAAATAGCTAAACTGAACGGATGAAATGCAAGGTTATTACATTTCAGCATGGTTCTAAGGCCATGGGGGGAGGAGTGGCAACGAGCCAGCCCATACCCTGTTCTTCTCCCTGGTGACAAAGCAGGGTTCCTGGAAACCCATAGAAATGGCTGAGCCCCTAGTTACCTTTGCAGAAATAAGCCCTGCCCAAGCCCAAAGGCCCGTGCAGCCTTTGTGTCAGGTCACGGTGACTCTGCACTTGCCCCAGTGTTTCAGAAGATGACGTGTGCATTCTTTAAGGGTCAGTCTGAGGAAGGGCTTCCCTCAGGAGGGAGGAACCATGTGCCCAGGGTCTTTGATAAGTAAGATCCCCATCGACGCTTGCTTGGACCCCACGGCCAGAGTTGCTCAACAGGGACACAGGCTTGCTTTGTGCAGCAGGACGTGCCTGCCCCTCAGGAGAAGTCTTCAAGCAGAGTCGGGACACCAGCTCTGAGGGCCAGTGAGGAAGGCATTGGGGAGGACAGTCTGGGAGGACAGTCAGCTAGTCAGTATATTTTATCGCTTGTGCATTATAGGCCAAATGCGGGGGTTGATGGCTTCCGGTATATCCTTTTCAGCCTCACGGACACTGCTGGATGTGACCGTCTCCTGGGGCACAGACAAGACCAGAGCTGAATAGCACGCACAGGGTCACGTGGCTAATAAATGCCTGAGCCACAATCGGAACTCAGTTTATTGTTTTAATAGTCTCACGCTTGCTCAGCTCATTCCTGTGCTAAATGGGGCAAATGGTACATTTACCATTATCTTTATGTCAGAGTCCCTCACATGGGTGACATTTCTCACTGGGAATGTGATGTGCACAGCCTGCCTGTGTTTCGTATGTTTGGTGCCCCGGGTGAATGTTAGAAACATAAAGATGCCGGGGTGCCTGGGTGGCTCAGTTGCTTAAGCTCTGACTTTGGCTTAGGTCATGATCTCACGGTTCCTGGGTTCAAGCGCCGCGTCAGGCTCTGTGCTGACATCTCAGAACCTGGAGCCTGCTTTGGATTCTGTGTCTCCCTCGCTCTCTTCCCCTCCCCTGCTCACACTTTCTGTCTCTCAAAGATAAATAAAAATGTTTAAAAAAAAAAAAAAAAGAAAGAAACATAAAGATGCCATAGTGTAAATGTGTGTGTGTCGTGGGTGGCCTTGTGGGGGATGTGGGAGAAGACTGGAAGGGCAGGTAGAACCGAAGGGCTGTTCGCCCCTCTGACCAAGAGCATTTCATCACCAGGGACCTCCTGTCATAATCTTTTGTGATGGCCCAGTCCCGTCCTCAGAAGTGCTTTTTGGGAAGAATTTTGGGATTCAGACCAGACGTCGATTGTCTACCAAGAAGTTTAAAATAGAAAATGTACAGAGACCTTTGGATGTATTCAGTTTTAGGCATGTTAAAATATTCAACTCCTCCTTCTCAGGGTCTGCAGTTTTCTCACCACCTTTTCATTTTCAAATCACTGACCACATTTCTTTCTGCTCTGGTGGGAGATTCATGATTTGCCTTTAGTATTTTCATCTCTGAGTGTTCTGTTAGTCTCAGTGAAATAACAGGCTTCAGAGACCATCACCCCAGTGATGATCAGACTGGATACCTGCATGGGTTCATGTCATCAACCCTCTGTGTCCACTGCGGAGTGGAGCATGTCACTTCACCAGGTCAGGAGGAACAGGACACACAACCTTCTTCCTGGGGACAGGAGGCAGGGGAAGATCAAACCCCACTTTGCAGCCCACTCCCCTCCTGCCACACAGCTGAGGTTTACTTGGGACGACCAGGCAGTTTCTGGGCCTGACCTGGCAGCAGCAGGGCAGGCCTGGTGGGGGTTAGGGAATGAGGGATCCCTTGCCCCGATGCAGGTGAGCACCAGGAAGTCGTGGGTCCACAGCCTCCAGACTCGAGGGACTAGAAAGCTGACCTCTTGCTGTTTTGTTTTGTTTTGTTTTGTTTTTGCAGCCTCCTGCTTGGCGGACTCGGAGAGGCCTTGCTGGTTTTCTCGGAGCAGAAGGGCTCATAAGGACAGGAAAAATAGACTCACAGGCTGCTGGCTGGAATGCACGGCCCCTGGGCCTCAGAGATCCCGCTCAAATGTGTTAGAAGGAGAAAACAGGGACAACAAGGCCACCACTTCTCACTGCATCAAGGAGAAGTCTCTGGACTGTTGGAGAGAATTGACTGTGTTGCATCTTCCTGCTCCGAGAGGCTCACTCAAGCCTTGCTGACCGTGCTGGGCCCAGTGGGGCAGACCCAGACCCGGAACCCCCCATGTGGGGATGGGTCTGCTCACCTTGACTGATGTGCAGGCCTCCTTATTAAACACCCTTCACCAAACATGACTATACGGAGGCGGGCTCAAGGAATTTTGTTGCACTTTGTTTTATATGTTTACATCTTTGGAGACTTTTCTGGGGACACCTTTCCCTTGCTGTCATGGGCTTGCCTGGAGCCCCCACTCACCCACTTAGGAGCACAGACAGAATTCCTCATGGAGGGCTTTCACGGGGGGGCAGGGGCAGAGATGAGGGTCAAATGGGAGTTCTGAGTCAAGTAAGACATCAGCAAGGACGCTGTTACTCCAGAGAGAGTGCTAAAGCCTTTTTGGGGTTGTGTGTTGTGTTGAATTCTATACACTCTTGGTGTCCACTGTGAGGCTAACTTGCTCCTAAATGATCACCAGAGGGAATAGGGTTTATAACTGTTGATGGATGTGCTCCCTGGCCAGTGATACAAACATAGAACATACGTATACACAAAAGCACACACATTTATATTCACATCCCTTAAAGCTTTTAATCCATTGAATTCCCTGATGGCTCAGAGGAGATTTCATTCATATCATTGAACACTGAAGTATATTTTTCGGGCCAGATTAAAAATTTGATTAAGACTCTAAATCTTCCTCTGTGGGAGTCCAAAGAAATGAACATGCATGAAATGGTAACTTGCTTCTGAACTCACAGTGAAGGTTTAAGAAAATAATGTCTGACTTCAAATATTTCTGCTCATGACAGGTTTTGAATGCCTGACTGCTCTGCCAGGTGTCGGGTCTGGTCATGTTGAGATGTAGAAGGTAGTGAAGTCCCAGTGAGCCCTCCCCGGGCAGGAAGCCAGGCTGGCACTGGTGGTCATGCACGCCATTCATGGAGAACCATCTTCGTCGTCTGGGAAATAAGCCTGTCCATGGAGAATAAGGTCAGCTTAGTCAGGGGCCATTCTTCCAACTTGTTGAAAAAATACACAGAAGATGAAACAGGAATGGATTCGTATATTTGGAACTTGAGTACCTTAAATTCATTCCCTTGTCTTTTCCTGGTCTCTGTGTGTCATTTAAGGTAAAGATGTTCAGAGTGATGTTTACACAGATACAGTTTTGTTTTTTTTTTAATGTTTATTTATTTTGAGAGTGAGAGAGAGCGTGCACAGCTGGGGACGGACAGAGAGAGAGCGAGACAGAGAATCCCAAGCAGGCTCTGCACTGCCAGCCCAAAGCCTGACTCGGGGCTCAGTCCCACAACCATGAGATCATGATATGAGCGGAAATCAAAGAGTTGGAAGCTTAACCAACTGGGCCACCCAGGTTCCCCTACACACATATAGTTTCAGTTTGCTGTATGTCCTTCATCTATCTAAATTTTATAGAGGCTGAGGATCAAATAGAAAACCGGGTTTAGAATTGCCCTTGTTCTTTTGCTCCCACAAAACTCTTTCTGTACAACTGAGAGAGTTCTCCTTTTGTGGAAAGTGGCATCTGTCCAAATGTCATCTGAAGCCTGTCTTTCCAAGTGCCATTCAAGCACATGGAGGTTCCTAAGTCAGGAAAGAACCATACACAGGTAATGGGCCCATCTCCTGTTTCTAGGAGACCTGTTCTTAAAAGAATCTCTACTAAGGACTTTTTTATTTTTGTTTGTTTGAATTTTTTTAATGGCATTCCAGAGTCCCATTGTTTTTATCTTTTAATTTCTTAATTTGAGTAGAGTTGATACACATGTTAATTAGTTTTAGGTGTACAACTTAGTGATTTGACAAGTTTACACATTATGCTATGCTCACCACGAGTGGACCATCTGTCCTATTACATCGCTATTAGGATATTATTGACTATGTTCCTTATTCTGTGCTTTTTATTCCCATGCCTTACTCATTCCATAATCCAAAGCCTGTACCTCCCTCTCCCCTTCAACTGTTATGCTCCCCCTGACCCCCCAATCCCTTTGGCAACTCATCTGTTTCTTCTCTGTTTTTATAGTTCTGATTCTCCTTTTTGTTTTTTTATTCATTTTTTAAAATTCTAAGTGAAGTCATATGGTATTTGTCTTTCTCAGTCTGATTTATGCCACTTAGCACAATACCTTCTAGGTCCATCCATGTTGTTTCATGTGGCTTGATTTCGTCCTTTTTTATGGCTGTGTAATACTCCACTGTGTATATATACCACATAATACGCCACATAAGTCTAGAGTGGACATTTAGGTTGCTTCCATATCTCGGCTATTGTAAATAATGCTGCAATAAACATAGGGTACATAGATCTTTTCAAGTTAGTGTTTTCATTTTCCCTGGGTAAATACCCGATAGTGAAATTACTGGATCATATGGTATTTCTATCTTTAATTTTTTGAGGCACCTCCATACTGTTTTCCACAGAGGCTGCACCAGTTTGCTTCTACCAACAGTGCACAAGGGTTCCTTTTTCTCCACGTCTTCACCCACACTTGTTGTTCTTCTTGATTTTAGCCATTCTGACAGGTATCTCATTGTGGTTTTGATTTGCATTTCCCTGATGACGAGTGATGGTGAGCATCTTTTCATGTGTCTGTTGGCCATCTTTAGATCTTCTTTGGAGAAATGACTGTTCAGGTCCCCTGCCCATTTTTAAAACAGGTTGTTTGTTTTTTTTGGTGTTGAGTTGTATAAGCTCTTTACATATTTTGGATAGTAACTCCTTTTTGGATGTATCATTTGCAAATATCTTCTCCCATTCGGTAGGTTGTCTTTTTGTTTGGTTGATTGTTTCCTTTGTTGTGCAAAAGCTTCTTATTTTGATGTGATCCCCATAGTTTGTTTTTGTTTTTGATTCCCTTGCCTCAGGAGACATCTAGAAAAATGTTCCTACCACTGATGTCAGAATGATTACTGCCTATGCTCTCTCCTAGGACGTTTATGGTTCCAGGTCTCACATTGAGGTCTTTAATCTATTTTGAGTTTATTTTTATGTACAATGTAAGAAAGTGGTCCAGTTTCATTGTTTTTAAAACCTCAGGTATTATCTTACTTTGACACCAGCAGGAGGCAGAGGATGAGGTGTTTCTTCAATATACCATCCTGTTTCCTTTAGCTTCCATCTCTCCTAGGGCTTTCCCTCCGCCCCCCAAGCCTTAATTTCTACATTTTATGCCAAGTTCACATGCTCAGCTCTAAATGCAGGGTGAGCGAGAGGTCTATAGACCCAGGGGCTGGCCCAGATTACTGCAGTCCCCTTAGCTCTCATTGTCTGTGGCTCTCTGCTTCCCTCACCCAGCACTCCCTTTTTTCAAAAATGATCCATTTGGCCATGTCTTGTCTGGGTCTGATGATCCCGACCTTGCTGGCCCCAAGTCAAAGCCAAAGTGCTTGGTTTTTTCATTTGTACAAATAAAGTATGCTTTCCGCCAAAGGAGGCCAGATTCTGTATGATTGTATATTGTTACGAATCTCCTGTGGATATAAAGAAAAATAAACCGTTTGTTTTCATGATAATTTGCCTTTCTTTCTCTTCTCTTCAAACTCAGCTGGAGAGAATTGCAAAAACAGTTGTTATCCCTGGGGGAAGGGAGCAGGGGGAGGGTTCTTGCATCTTAAATACAGACTCTGACTTCTTCCAACATCCAGGCCACTTAGCTCCGAACAGGGAAGATGACCCAGCTCCTTCTGCTGGACCCTCGCTGTCCAAGAGGGTGAGCATAGCCATGTGTGGCCGTCACTGAAATGACGTGTGTCCAGATTCACATGTGCTGTACATAAGGGTAAGTACACAGTGATTTCAAAGATTTAGTATAAGACACAGGATGTAAAATATTTTGTAATCATTTTTATACTGATTACAGGTTGAAATAATATTTTGATAGATTAAATAAAACATCAAAATGAATCTCCCATTTCTTTTTACCTTTTTTTTAATGTTTGTTTATTTTTGAGAAAGAAAGTGAATGGAGGAGGGGCAGAGAGAGAGGGAGACAGAGAATCCGAAACAGGCTCCAGGCTGTCAGCACAGAGCCCGACGCGAGACTCGAACCCACGACCCATGAGATCACGACCTGAGCCAAAATCTGACGCCCAACCAAATGAGCCACCCAGGTGCCCCTCTTTTTACCTTTTTTAATGGGACTACTAGAAAATTGCAATGTGTGTATTTGGCTCACATGATGTTTCTGTTGGTCAGTGCTGATCTGGAGTGGTTCTTCGACACTGGGCCCGGGAAGCGGCAGAGGAGACAGGTGTTGGCAGCAGCTGCTGGGGTTACCAACCCAGTAACAATACCTAAGACACTAAGTTATTGAATGTTCATTAAATGCTGCACACTGTGCTAGGTATTTTCTAGGTGTCGTGTCATTTCATTTTACCAAGGGTGGGTGGGCAACATTCTCCCCCAGTTTATCAAGGAGACTCAGAGAGATTCAGTAACCCAGGGTCACCCAGCAAGGGTTCGAACCCAGGTCTTTCTGATTAAGCCTGTTCTTCTCATCTGTACCTGAGAGAGTTCTGTTGTGAAGGAGAAATGAAACCCCTTACATTTTACAGGGAGTTGTTAGTTCTGCTCTTAAGTGTTTCCATGTGGATTCCTGACATCGGTGAGGTCACTTGTGGCTTTCTCCCTGGAGGCCACGTCTTTGCCAAAAGGTGGGGTCCGTGGCCTGCGTTCCAGCTGCCTTCCCAGTGTTTCAGTCCGTGCCACCAGCCTCCTCCCTCGGCTTGTGTCTGGGATCCGCCCTGCACGGGTTGGAGCAACCAGGAGCACTTTGGGAACGGCACTGCCCC